GGGCTGGGGGGACGGGCGGGACGCCCCCTGCGGGCCCGGCGGCCCTGCCGCCCTCCCGGCGCTGGGCTCGGTAATAACAATAATACGTTAATAAGGGTAAATCGGAAAAGTAACGCTGCTGACATCATCAAAGCAATCGGAAATCGTTAAATACGTGAAAACACAAGTCTCTTCTCTTCTGCAGATGTCGAAAACATTGCTGATCTCTTTGCCAATAACGTGAAGTCTGGTCACAAAAATGACTGCTTCCTAGTCACATAGACACGTTCTCTGAATCAAAGCTTAGACAGTAATATTTCGTAAAATAGTGTTTTCTTATCTCTTCTTGCCAGGTCAGGCTGCAGACCCAGCCCAAACCCCAGCCCGGTCAGCCTCTGCTCTATTCTGGGACCTTTGACTGCTTCCGAAAGACTCTGGTTAGAGAGGTACTGTGCGAGCCTGTCGTTTGCAGTGCCTGCCAAAAACGTCAGTTGTCCGTGTACGTCACAGCAATGGCATGGGGTGGGAATGCCACCCCCTGAGATTATAAAATTCTTGGGTTATCAGCTGAAGTGAGTCTAATTGAAATTTTTCAGCAGATTACAAAACTTGAAGGGAGATCTATTTGGGGAGTATGTACTATCCATTTCTTCTAAATGAGCGTCTTTTTGCTTTGTTTAGAAACACTGGTGGCTCAAAATACTGTGATATTAATATCCGAAGCTAAAGACCGGGGTTAGCATTGGCAGTCGTTTGCTGGCTTTGTTGTCGTAGGTGGTGGAATCTCGTTGTCTTTGGTATTTGGAGCTCTTTCTGGAAGTCCTAAAATAGGCAATGACTTTTGTTAATAAAAGCAGTACTTTACATTTCTTCTGTAATACGTTATTATACCATCTGTGAGAAGGTGGATGAGTAAGTGTCAGTTTGAATTCCTAGTGTGTTTTTGTCTTTTTTTTTAAAAAGGTCAGAGGGACCATTATAGTAACTTTGTTTGATCTTCTTCATAAGGTGGACGTTGGCTTCCACTCTGTGACTCCTGAATCAGCCCATGTCATGTGATTGAACTATAGTCTATTTTTTTTTTAGAAAGGCATGCAGCCTTGGTTTAAAGACTTAAGTGACATAGAATCCACTTTGCTGCTTGGTAAGTTTTTCCAGTGGCTATTTAACATTTGGAAAAAATGGGTATAATGCCCAACTGTTTATTTGCTAATCTAAAGTTTAGCTCCTAACCACTGGATATAGTTGGGTCACTCTTTTCTGAATGAAAGAGCTATCTCAGATCAGAAATCTTTTTGTGATAGGACTCACAGGTTGCTACCTAACCAAAGTAAATCTTGCTTCCCTTGTCTCTCCCACAAAGCACTGAAAAGCTTTAGTAGCTCTCTTCTGAATCCCTTGCAATATTTCAACACCTCTTCTGAAGCATGGACGTCAGAGCTGAACTGTAATAACACTCTTCTGATGTGAAGTTCAAAAGTAATGCTGCCTCTCTGCTCCTACTCAATAATCATCTGTTTCTATAAGGAAAAACTGTTAAGCCTCTCTGCTAAGACCTTTTACTTCCTACTGCTTGTGGGAAGATTGAGCAGGCGTGTCTGATCTTTGTCAACCAGATAGGATTTCATTACACAGTCAGTTGTGCCAGGAAGCATACAAGCATATATTGGGATACACTGATTTTAGAGGGGGAGGAGGGGCAGAAAATATTTAATTTCTGCATCTAGCCTCTATGTAGAAAGATAATTGATAACTCTCCTTTTAATTAGAAAGGAGTTGGTATCCTCAGTTGAAAGGCAAGATAAATGAAATAAATGCTACTGCTGGGGTCTGTATCAGAGTTTGTTCCAAATATGCAGTCTGATGATGTATTTTTTTAATCTAAAGGGAAACATCGGGGATGTAAAGTTGTATCGTGAAAAGGTTTTAGCTTAGGGAGGGAAAGCAAAAATAATCTGCTCTTGAACTCGTTCCAAGCTGAGCTCATCTGGGGAGTGAAGGAGTTCAAGTTGGTCTCCCTGGCTTTATCTTTACCTAAAGAATGAATTTGATCCAGCACTGTCAGGCTTAATATCAGAATTTTACTGTTATGTTGCGTTTGATGACTTCTTCGTAAAGCATGTGTGGATTTTTTTTTAATGTATTTGAGAGAGAAAACTTTGGACATAATATAACAAGACTATTGTTCAGGTGGCTTTTAACTTCCTTGTATTTGGGATGTAAGTACAGGAGACCACATGAACAGTATTGGAAGAGAAGGCTGAAAATGGTGCCAGTGTTTTCCAGGAAGGATGGCCTTCCTTTGCAACAGGTCCTGAGCCTCAGTTAAATGTGCATTATCGCAAGTGAACAATAGATCCCATTATTCCTCTAATTAATTGGACTGGCTGACTCTAACTCTGATATTATCCTGTGTTTTAACCTTTTTGTTTCTCAGTAAGTCGAAACATGTGCAGAGCGTTATGTAAAACCAAATAATTCTTGTGATGACATTTTTTGCAGGGAGTCCGAGGCTTGTATAAAGGAATGGCAGCTCCTATTGTTGGAGTGACACCCATGTTTGCTGTCTGCTTCTTTGGATTTGGCTTGGGAAAAAGACTCCAACAGCGAAAACCTGATGATATTTTGACGTGAGTTTCTGAGTTATTCAGACGTTTGGGAAAGGCACCCTAAGACTCTGGCAGCCTGCTATGTTGTCGCACATTGAGTTGTGGTGTAAATTTGTCTCTTCTCCTAGGTTATAAATATAGCTCTAAAAAATAAAACATGGGTGTGTTTTAATGCTTCTGGAAGCGTGGGACTGATAGCACAGGCTAAAAACAGACAGCATGTGGGCAAGTGCTATGCAATTCCCTTTCTACGCAAGAAGAAGCCATTAAAGAACAATTCCATTTCAGATGAATGCAGCGTGAATTATATAATGACTGCCTGAGAACAGTCTCACTATTAACAGAAACTATGGAAGAATTAAATTCATGGTCGAGCAGTCTTGATAAAATTCAGTCACGAAAAAATGCCCTACTAGCTGTGACTCTTACTGTGCCCATAATATTAGGATATAGCAATAGCCATAGAAGTACTTCACGATTAATTTCAGAAAAGCGGTGTTTATGAGCAGCCCTGCTCTGTGGCACGTGTAACCTTCTGGAAAAGGTCCTGTGGAATGAAGCTTTTCTTAGTCCCTTTCAACCCAAAGGATGGCTAAATCTTCTCTGAGAAGCTAGTCAAACTTTGTGTCTCTCTTCAGGTTAGCTTATGCATAAGGAGAGCCCCCCCCTGCCCCCGAAAGTACTCCCTTTCTTTGCTGAATTGAGAATTACAGCTCTAAAGGAACAGAACTGTAGCTTAGCAACATTTTATTCTATTATTCATACAATGCCTAGGAGTCCTGTCAGAAAGCAGGAGCCCATTGTGTTAAGCCAAGCGTGGAGGGGTGGGGAGACACTGTTTCTGTTGGAGCTTTGCCTGCACAGGGAGGTGCCTCAGTGATACAGAGTACACCCAGCTGTGCAGCACTAGCCAGCCGCTCCCGCGACACAGAGCAAGCTGCCTCTGCTTGGGTCGCGCAGAGGGAGGGAGTGCTGAGGCACTCCGGCACTGTTTGCTCACTTCTTTTACCACTGTAACTGACTTCCTCATGTGGACGAGGCTGAAGGGTAAGACCGGAGGGAACCGGTGAGGACTGGAGAATACAAGGAAGCAAATGGTCCGTGGGCTCATTGCCAGCATCCTAATCACCTCAATGCTTTGTGTTTCGTATGCATCATAGCCAAATGGAGTTTTGAGGAGCGAGCTGGAGGGGGGCAGCAAAGTATTTTGAGTCTTTATGGAGAACTCCTCCCAAGCAGACAGTACAAAGATCAACAAGTAAATGTTAGAGCTGTCATTGTGCCCTCCCTGTGCTGTACCTTAGATGCAGATGTTTTTACGCAGTAAGATGTAGTGTGCCTGGGATGCCAGGCCCATAAAGAAAGGTCAGGCTCTTAGCACCATGGTTATGGGTCTAGAGGCAGGTAGTGGATCCCCCATGCTGGTTTGGGAGGGAAGGAGATGGAAAGAAACCTGAGGAACCTATTTCGTTTTTTCTAGGGCTGAAAAATCCCAAGGTGAGTTAGAAAACTCAAAGCTTAGTTTGAGCAGGAGGTGCATCTGAATTGGAGAGAGAGGTCTGAAAGACCTGATAGGTGGATACTCGGATCAGTCCCTATGGATGAGATTACTTGGAGTAACTTGGAGTACTTGGATTACTCGGAGGTGCAGAAAAGGAGAAAAGTGTGTGGTGACTGTGGTGACCTCATAGACATTTAGAGTGATACGAGTTACTGTCTGAAGATATTATCTGTTAATGCAAGGAGAGAAGTAAATGAGGAGGGAAGGGTCATAGGAAGCAGCAGGGGGAGGCCAGGGTGGGAGAGGGAGGGAGCAAGTTTATGGCAGAGAGCCTGATTAGTGGGGCTGACACCAGCTGAGGGTTGAAGAGTAGAGCTGGAGTGGTGGCTCTGGATTTAGGTTATGGAGAGAGCGTTTGCACAGTATTCCCACAGCTGTTTCAGTGGTGTAGAAACTAGACTGGAAGGCGGCAAGGTAGTCTTTCTGGAATAAGGCCTTCAGATGTTGCTGCAGACTATTCAATGGACTCTGAAAGGAGATGGCACAGCTGGTGGACAGAGCTGTGGGGTCAAAGCAGGAAAGAATAAGTTGCACCTTATCTATTGGTAGAAGATGGGAAGGAAGAAAATTTAAGGGGAACTTAAGAGTAAACAAGGGTATGAAAACAGGAAAACCTGAATGGAATGCCATTTCTTATTAGGCACATGGAGAGAAGTGGAAGATGTGGAATTTAGTTAATTGAGAAACTAGGTCTTTTTACTAGGTAAGTTAGCAAGAGGTTGGATATAAGCACAAATTTGTGATGGAGAAAATCAGCCTGCTTAAGGGATTTCTGTTGCAGAGACTTTGCAGCATGAAAGCAAATGCAGAGTATTGGGGGACAAGGGCAGGTTGGTAGGACAGACTTGTCAATGTGAGAGGCTGAAAGAATAAAGGCCTGAGAAGAACTAAGTTTGGAGGGAGACAGCCTTTGTGTTGTCAGGAGAAAAGGCTGAGAGTAAATGGAAAGTCAAGACTGAGACTAGACATAGAGACAAAGTGAATCATAGCGACTGACTGGCAATTTTAGAAAAGAACCAGGGCCCAAGTGAGGGAGCTCCATGGCAGACACTCTGAGTGTGACAAGACCATGCTCACTTTGTAAGGAAATAAGGATGACAGACTCAAACAAGGTTTACAGAAACGTGGCTCTTGGTGGCCTTGGAGCGGGAATAAGTGTGGAAGCTGTGGTCACCTAGAAGAGTGGGACACTGGAGGAGGAAGAGATGTTCAGAATAAAAATCAATGGGGAATGCTGTAGCAAATAATGCAAGCAGAAGGAGTATTAACAAATACAGTAAATGTGAAGAGCTGAGTTACGGTTGCTGTGGGAACTGTGGCTTTGAATCCTAGAAATCTGAAATGTTTAGCTCTAATTGTGCATTAAATGAGGCACTTCTGCACTGATCATAGGCAGTGGATGCATTTCTAGTTCCACTGCCAGTCTTGTGTGCAACACTGTAATCGGACTATACAGGGATCTTTCTGCCCTTCATTGCCTATGTACTGTGTTGCGTTAGGGTCTCTTCTGTTTCCTCTGGGCAGATATCCTCAGCTGTTTGCTGCTGGCATGTTGTCGGGAGTGTTTACAACAGTAATCATGGCTCCAGGAGAGAGAATCAAGTGCCTCTTACAGGTAAGGCATTGGATGGTGATTTTGGGAATTTAATTTAGGGTCTTGTCTTCCCATACCAGCAACTTCCTTGGTGAGTGTGTTTACTCTGTTCTGTTTTTTGACAGGACTGAGACACCTGTCATTTAATGCAACTGTGTCATGCAGAAGCGTTATACAAACTAACCATAACAATAGAAGTACATACAACATTCATCGCTCTATTCACATTACCGAGCACAAGCATTATACTATGTGGCATTATATGAGGCATCAGCAGATGCCTCAGTCCATTTTAAAATATGGAAAACTCCAGCTTTTCAGAATGAAACTTATTCTAAAGACTTCCAGACCCACTAGATCATGGGATTCTTTCTGTGGTAAAGATTTTCCATCATCTTGCCACCTGCTGCTCCACACCTCCTCTTTAAGTTTTTAAGTTTTTAAGGCATTATTAGGAAATGTAAGCGTGAACAAATGAACATACTTTCTTTGGCAGAGAGGGGAAGGTTTGCTTACATCACACTATCTTGTACTCTGTTAGTATGGAAATGGGTGTCATTGCCTGTGTTGTTTACCTGCTGGACGTTCCAGCCATTAGTTCTGACAGGCGTGATATTATCATACAATGTTTTATACACATAAAAATTGTTTGAATTTTACTAAATTATTTGAAGGCTATTCTTGACAGCGTATGTGTGAAACTACCTACCTGGCTTCAGTTGTTTCAAACTTACACTAGGAAAAATAAAGGGAGAATCTAGCCGCTGTGGACCAGTAAACACATCCTCAGCTTGAATGGCAGAGAGCTGACTGAGAAAATGATGCAAAGGTTTCATCTGCAGGAGTGCCTGTGGAATGAATCTGTGCTCTTTCCTTTGGCAACATGCACGTGGCTTTCTAATTATTAGCTGAATGATTGTTCACCAGCCAGAAACGATCACTTTAATCCTTCAGATCCAGGCAGCTACAGGTGAAACTAAATACAGTGGCCCAATGGACTGTGTGAAACAGCTGTACCGTGAGGCTGGGATTCGAGGCGTATTCAAGGGGACAGTGCTCACCCTCATGAGAGGTAACTGATGGAAATGTTCTGATGCTTCTTCTGCATGGGGTACTTTAAAACAAGAAGACTGACATAGTGTCGTAAATCTCGCTGTCCCTTTAGCCTATTGGAGGTGCTTTGTGTCATCCATTTTTTTTTCTTTTTTTGCAGTCTGCAGAGCTACTCCAATGCCCCAAAGGGACTGAGAAATAAACATGAGATTCTCAGTGAGTGAGGAAGAGAGTAGATGGATTCAGAGGGATATAGGAACTAATTAAAATCCAAGAAGGCGAGAGGAATCAGACTTCAGAATGCAGAAGTGGGCTTTTTTTTTTTTGTCTTTTTTTTCCCCCTCTTCTTGGGAGAAGGACTGTGACTGCTGTCTGTGACTATTGTTGTGTAATGATGATTGCTTTAAAAGACGTGATTGCAGCAGTTATGCTTTCTACCTGCTTGAGTGTGGTTATTTTGGAGTGGGATGGCATGTCCCCTCTCCTACAACAACAACAAAGTAATTGTGCCAGATATTGAAGGCTTTACATGTTTTGGTACTTTTTTCTCTGAACAAAGTTAGATTGTTCCCTGTATTGGGGCAGTGCTTTCTGAGCATAAGCTGAAATTTCTGTATTTTGAGATCTTGGTTTAGGAATTTGTTCTATCCTCTGCTTCTCAGCTAGCAATTTAATTCCCCTCTGGCAGTGTGCCTAGTCAGAGGCTGGTTGTCCAATTCAAGCATGAGCTAAGAATGGGCCGTGGCAGTACCTTAAAACAACAACACCAACAACAAACCCAAAACAGCTTGGTCAGAACAAATAGTGTGCAAAACTTACAGTTCCCAAACTGCTCTGATCTGCCATACACCATCTAAGGAAGATTAAGCTAACTATGAGACAGCACAAATGGCTGGCAGCCAGGTTACAGTCTGATTAGAAGGGTTGCTGACAGAAGTGCTCAAGAACAGGTATTTTCCCAAATCTTGCCTGTAACACCTGCTCTCCCTAGGAAAGTTCAGGCTCCTCTGTGTAGAGCAGCAGCACTTTGTTTTTAGGGAAGGCTCAGAAGAGGAATCTGGATGTATTTAGAGTGTTGCTGAGCTGGCACAGGGCCGCTGTCCGTCTAGGCTTTGTTTAGTTTCCCACTACTCATCGCCTGTGTTGTTTACCCACTAGACGTTCCAGCCAGTGGAATGTACTTCATGACGTATGAGT